TTTTAGAACATTTTTTCTTTTGCTCTTCAGCAAACGTAAAATCATAACAGTTTTATCTTTATCAACTTTAAAAAAATAATGCCTTAGTGTTAAAAATTTTTTACTCAGCTGCTTATAAAAAAAAAAGTAATAAAGTTATAAAACTACTGCTTCACTGCAGAGGTATTTGCAGTTATTTGAAAACTGAGAACAGTTTTTTAACGAACACGATCGATGAGATTACATTGCGGTGGCTAGCTGGTTCTTGGTAAAACGGCAAACTTTTGTTTCTTCTGTTTAACAAAGGTCTTTCCATTCTTCGTGTTTCTGAAAAGATTAAAAAAAGTAATTATACTTCAGAAAAACCAACAAAATTGTTTCTTATTTTTGAGATTAGGCATGATATAAGAAAATCACTTAAGACAGTCCAACAATTTCTAGACACTATAAATGCAGCATAGGTGAGATTAGAAGTTTAGACTAAAATATTTACAGTAGTTTATCGGTGGACAAACAAACTTGACTTCTGTTTTCGCTTCTAATTATTATATAAAGTAGAAAGTGAACAAGCAGATACGAGTGTATAAGATAAAACATATTCTAAGCTTTTTGAAATTTATTATCGGTTCGGTAGAGAAAAGGTAGACATCGAAAAATGTCGAAGAAAGCTGCGGTACTGCAATTGCAGCAGCTTGGAACTGTTGCTTAAGTGTTTTCACCTTTTCTTTTCTGTTTTGTACTAATATGATTTTCAAAGTTTCAGGCCTCAAATACTAAGGTTTTAAATATATTAATTGTTTTATTCAAACTTGTCAAATTGATTTCTACGGTCTCTGAAACCACTTATACAGTTCTTCAAGTTTTCAATGTTGATAAGATAAATGCTCTTCAATCTTAACTTGTTTCAGCTCTTAATTTTAAAAAACTTAGTTGTACTAAACAGAGTTCAACAAATTATTTAGAACAGACAAAAAAAAACATTTTGACTTTAATGAGTTGGTCGTTTCTATCACCTTATCAAAACTCTTTGTAGCTTTTAGAGTAACATGTTTGTTATGCTTTGATTCATTTGAGAAACTCGTTTTTATCATCTCAGTATCATTTTTTTACGTCTTTCAAGTAAGTGGTGAAAACTCCGCTCAAAATTCTATATATTTAAAGCAGTGATATACGTCGTTAGTGTTATAAAGTGCAAAAAATTGCACTTTATAACATTTCCGATTCTATCTACTTTGTTCATTTAGCAATACCTCGTTTTAGAAATTTCTTTTTGTTTTGGTAAAAAAGTGGTCACTAACTAAGAAAGAATTATTCAGTTCAAAGTTTGGTAGCACAGTCTAGACAGCAGTTATTAAAAAGTGGTGAAGTGACAATTACGGCTGAATACTCAACAGGTGCAGCGTACAACTTTTTGGTATATTATTACAAGGTCTAATTAGAGTAAAAGTTCCAAAAGTTTTCAGCGATGTTCAACCTTAAAAAATTTGCAAAACATAACGAAATGATTTCATGAATGCTTTAAAATCTTCTGCTTTGAAATCGCCATCTACTTGTAATGATACTGCATGTGTGTTCTGTTGCTCGAGGATCTACAATCTTGAACAAAAAACACTGTTGGTTTCCAGGTTTTTAGCTCCATAACCCAACATATTTTTTATAACTCCTGATGAATTTTACGCTGTACTTTAACTATCTACATGAATTTTTTGTGTTGCGCCATGGCTTGTGAGAAGCTCTGATTCGTTTTATTGGAGGTTTGTGAAAATTGAAAGCATTCAGTCTTAAATAGCAGTTTATATTTGGCTAGAATAAAATTGTCTAAGCACAAATTTCTCGTCAAGCTTAGTAATGCAGTTTGAAAATTGAAATAAACAAATTTAAAATCTAAAATTTGTCCCAGATATTGTCAATAGAACACATTGATAAAAGGTTATAACAAAACTGAAAGACACGATAACTGCTTTTGTAATAATATTTCCCTCTTTTCAGAAAAACAGTATTTTTTAGAGTTACTGTTTTCAATTAAAAAACAAATGCTTTGGCGAACGATTTTTCTAAAAAAAATCTTTTTCTGATTGTAAGAATAATTTTACAATTGAATTACTGCTGATTTCAAGTCTGATAAAATTAGCAAGCAAAAGAAGTTGATATATTTTTAACGCGGTCACCTATCACTTTATAACATCAAATTGGCCGACACAAGATTAAATTTTTAAAAAAAAGCATAATAGTATCTAACAAATAATTCCTATCAGCTTCAGTAAGCTGCTCGCCACCGTTTATTTGTCGCTTCTTGCAGCGGTCAGAAAAAAAAATCAGTTTACAGAAGGCATTTTCCTTTTCGTTAAGCTAGATTATACGACTATTTCTTTCTCAGTGCAACAAATGAACAACAGTTTTATGTCGAGAAGGCGCACGTTTGTTTTGGAAGCTGGTAGCCGTTTAAGAAGACACAGTACTTTTTTCACCTTAGAAAAGAGAAATCTCAAAGTATAACACTCTTGAAACATGTCTTATACACTAAAGTTTCTTTTTTTCATTTAAAACCAGACTCACAGCATAATATTATAATTACTTTTAACGTGTTCATTTGTTATAAAAATACTGAACTAAATTTTTAGTTCGGTTTGAAATTTGACTGGTTATGTAGTGCATTAATAAAAACAGAAATGCGAGCATCTTATTACACAAAACGATCTGCATTGCACGATCGACTTAATGTGAAAAAGGGCCTGCAAATTTTGATTCATAAGTCTCTGGTTTATTAAGAATGAAATCTCATTCAAAATTGAAGTTACAATGCTCAGTTTGACAAAACTAGTCTTCTTCTACATTAACAATAAATAAAAGCAGTTGCGAGCTAAAACCATACTCATTACATAAATCAGTAAGTGAAATACTAGTCAAAAATTTTTGTCTGCTTTGTGACTTACATTTAGATACTACACAGCTCACTTTAACATTTCTTTTCTACTTTAAAAGCTTTCAATATTTGCTTTTAATTCACTCGCCAGCACTCAGTTTACGACTTCCAAATCTGAGTCGCGACTGATAAAAACAGAAACAGAGAACATAGACAAGAAACATTAAAGTTGCAAAGATCTTAAGGTTTGAATAAACAAACTTTAGTAGGTAAAAGTATTTTAAAAAAATTAAAGCATGTTTTCTAATTTGTATATTGAAGAGTTAAATGAAGCCTAAACGACTTTGCAAAATCTGTGACCGTCAGCTCGGCTGATATGATTCATTGTGAAGTGTGAGATAATGGCATAAACAAATAATTTGTTTTTCTATTTGCTTTACTCAAACAAAACGTTTATGACCAGCTCTTGTACAGCAAAAAGTTTTACACTTCACTCTACCTTTGTCAAATGAGTAGCACTACCCCATTAACAGATAAGCAAAAGGTCACCACTGTGACGACAATGCACAATGTAAGTAAGAGATGTGCTTGTTTTCTTTTCTCTCAACTGTAGGAATTAAGGCAGATATGAAATGAAATCCTCCGGACAAAATTCACCTGTAGAAATTTTCAATAAAGGGACTTTTTCTTGATCTTCTTTATATTCAGATTTCTTTTGTTCAAAATATCGCCAAAACAGTCTTGAAAAAAAAAAAAGAAACAATAGTAATGGTAATAAAAAATCCTTTCTTTAAAAGCCACTGAAAACAACATCGTTATAGCACAATCTTTTGTCATAAGCTTTTCTAAACTGCTTTGTCGAATACGATAAACTGTTAAGCAGTTACATAAAATTATTTTGAGTTATTCAATGAATAACAGTAAGAAACTTATGAATGCTTTCTAAAGCCGTTTTATAGTGCAACATCACTCTAATTATTGTTTAGACAAAGACAATAGAATTATAATTGCTTTGTAGCGATTTTTTTCTTTTGATATATCTGAGAATGTATCTTTCAGAATTATCATTATAGATAAAATCCGACATTTTACAGCTAAAATTCAGAACTTTGTAATATATCAAAAAAATAATTGCACTTTTATCTGCAGTAAGTGCCTGCTTCTACATTATCAAAAGTTTGAAATCTGCAGTTAAAAAAGCAACAGCTCTGTGCTCGTTTTTAATTTAAAAAAAGTTAGTTATTTGCTTTTCTTTAATTGAAACAAATTATCGTTTAAAGTCTAAAAGTAAAGAGAAACAACGTAGTTGATTTGTCGGGAGTGTTTTCAAGGGTTCTGTTTATTTATAGAATTACGTAACACAGTTAAATGACGAAAAACAGCAGCACTAAAAAGTAGATGACGATGAACAGCCCAAGAATGAGATTTTACAATTGGGTGTCATATTAAAGGGACTGTCTTTCGAGCGCTGATTTCGACTGAAGACCGCGCCTCTTTTGACTCCTATTTAAGTCTCCTGCTCGGACAGAACCATACGCATCATTTGCTTCTTCATTAGCGTCTCTTGGTAGCAGCTTCTATAACTCGCATGCTTCAACATCTACTGGTCTTCATAAGTGTGAATTCAGTTTGCTTCTATCTAGTACCAACCACGTATTTTAATAAATTTTAACTTAAAAAGCTGATAAACGCAAGGCAGAATACAACTAACTGTTAAAAATGATAATAATTTGTACTCAGTCTATTTTTTCATTAAACCTACCAAACTTCTGAACTCGTTTGCAGGAGGACTTTGCTAAAGCTCTAAGGTTGTCTTTCAGCTGTTCAAAAAGATTAGCTGATCAGAAATGTGCTGATTTTTGTAGTAAAAAAATAGTGCCAAATTTTTTTCGTTTTTGCAATCTGTGATTTAGTTTTTTCGGTCTTCAGTGTACTACAAATTACAAGTCCTTTTGTTTTTCTGATCATTCTGTAGCTGTCGATTAAATAGATTTGTTGGAAGACTAGAATGTGGTGCGTAATATCAGATGATGTTTAATGGACGGTATTCCTTGCTAAGGAACAATCTATTAACTTATAAGCTATATTTAAAAAACAGATAATGGCGGTTGCGCTTGGCATATTCTGCGCAGTCCTCTTTCAAACCACCTTAGCTCAGATGGGATTTGGCGGAGGCGGTTACTGTGCTACTTGTGCAATGAAAAGCCAAGGACTAAATTCTCCTGGTTTTGGATACGGCGAAGTCACTCATAATTTTGGTAAATAAACAAGATTTTTTTTTAAAGGTATTTTGAAAATAGCTGGGTGCACGTTTCATTGAATAAGCTTGAAAATTATTATTTTTAAACTTGATGTATATTTAGAGTTTCTACTGTGTAAACTTCCTTAAAACTTTAACTGAAATACAGGAGTTTATATGCACTTGTTCTATTAAAATATTAAAACTCTCAACAGATCTGCACTTTTTGATGAATTTTTTCATATGACATCGGGTGATTTCAGGCGTGCCATCAATTTCGACTCCACAAAAGACAGTCCAAACCACTTACGGAAATATAGTCGGAGATAATCTCGGTTACACAGCAACAAGCGGTTCTTCGCCTTCTACATATAACACGGCACCAACCTCATATACGACTCAGTTCACTATTCCAACCAGCATTTGCCCAACGGGTAAATGCTTCTGTAACTCTGGAATTTGTACAAGCTGCAACTCGTGTGGTTGGAACAGAGTATGTTTTTTTCATGAAACTTTTAGAATCAACTATCTAAAAAAGAAGTCAGTCAAGTAGTGGTTTGTTTACCTTTTAGGTCTTTTGAGTCGTTTGGCTAGTTACAAAGAATTTGAACTTTAGAAAACGATTTTTTCAAATGTTTACAAAAAGTGGATTGCGAAGTACCAGTTGTAATGGAGTGTAGTTAACAAACAGAAAAATACTAATATCATTTACCATAAATTCTTTTGCATCTGTTAATGGTCATACCGAAAGTAAACAGTAGTAGTATTTGGCCACTTTCAAGCAGTTGTTTTCTTAAATGCACTATAAGAGAAGACTAGCTTTCAAAAATTCTTAGTTTTCGGAAACACCGATCTCTTAAAGTCAAAATTTCAAATGGCGGTTTTTGTTCATCTAGTTTTTCATTACTCGCCTTAATACCTTGACTAATTAAAATTTTTCATTTTTTTAAAAAAACTTTAAAAAATAGCAGGAATAACAGTTTGTTAGATCCAGTACGTTTCCACATCAAAACTTACTTAGTATTTCTGAACTAGAATTAAACTGTTGATCGTCAAAAATTTTTTAGGCTCCTTGCCCGTGCATGAACGGTGGCGGAAATTGTTGTAATCGTCAACAGTTTAACTCCTACGAAAATTTCCAACCTTGGGGAACCAGTAACTCAAACGGTGGGTACCAAACGTCAACATTTAATACAGGAAGTAATCCAATGAATCCAGCACCTGTTATTCAAACATTTACTGTACAACCAAATTTTGGTACCGATAACAGTTTCTCGTTTGGTTATAATTCAAATTCGGCTAATTATGGTACGTTTTCCTCACTGCCAAAGTCAAACTTTGAAAATTTCAATCAGTTTGGAACTTCGAACACTCAGTATGGCAGTGCATCTAACCGATTCGGTAGCAGCAGTCCGTACATTAATAATATTCCAAATCTTATTGTTACCACCAACAAACAACATAAGGCCTAGTTAGTTTTTACCTGTTAAATTGCAAAGCAGCAGTGGGGAAGGGTACAACCATTGTAGAAAAACACTTTCTGTCCGAGTTTCGGCCATTCACTACGAGCCTCTTCGGCTTCGGAAATTTGTTTACAGTAAAAATGAATACTATTTTCCCAGTTTAATTCCTACAACTTTGGCAATGAAAAAATATGTAAAGAAATTTGAGCGACTAACCTAAAATGAAATTTTTTTGGACAGTTTTTCTTTGGATTACCCAATGAACAAACTAATTTTTGTTTTCCAAACTACATGTTTTTAAGAATTATTCTTTTTTTATTGGTCATTTTCTGTACAGTTGAGAAGTTAATAAAAATACCTCTGTATAGCAATATGTTTTTGAATAACATCATAGTTCCACAAAACATCGAAGTTTTTACTGGAAGTAACTACTAAACGCTTTACTAACCTCTCCTTCGATATCGATTAATTTAGAACAAATTACTTTTTACATAATGGCTTTGGAACGTTGTGTAAAAACAGTTGCCAACAAGTTTTATTATAGTTATTTAACAACTGTTTATGCAGCTACAAGGATTTCGTAAACCCGGACATGTGTAAAGCTATCTGGTGCTAATAAAAATTTTTTTTTTGCTTCAATAGCTAAATTCTCCTTTTAACAGTAACACAGTCCTGAATTACATGGTAAGCCGTAACATGACGGAGTATTTGGTACGCAATACCTCTCTGAACAAGAATTCATCTGTTCCTCGTAGGATCCTTGTAACCCGTGTTTCTTCATTGCTAAAAAACCGCTACCTACTGGATAGATACTATTGCACAGCATTTTTTTTCTTTTTTTTTGGATCACAAGGCTAATTCAGTGAATAATAGCGATAAGTAACAAAAATATTAGCCATTGAAATATTAGAAACGCGTCTGCAACCTCCACAACTGCCTGCTATTGTTCACTGACTACACTAATCTACTAAATGTAGAAGGCACCTCACCTCTTTCGCAGTTACACTTATGTGACCGACGCCCGCACGCTTTTTCTAGTCCTCCACACCCATTATCATTATAACAGATAGTACCGTTAACACAAGCAAGGCAGTTACACTTCCCAATGTTGATACCAACACATGTCCCTGGAAATTCATCGTTTGTACGCCACAAATTAATAAACCTCTAGAAATTGTTTATTGTTGAATAAACTTCGTGAACGTGCTCTGACAAGGCATACATACCTCCGCGGCAGTCGTAATTGCTAAAACAAACTCTGAACGGTTCACATTCAGGGCCAGTTGGCTGGTCCGTTCCTGAAAACTTTCTGCTGTTACATTTTTTCTCCAAGGGTCAAAAATTAATTAATGTTTATAGGCAACAGTAACTCTGATGCAATAGTGAAATAACTGATACACATCCAAAACAAATTAAACTGTACCAGAAATGATAATTAAAGTGTCTTTCGCTTCTGCCGGTTTTAAAGCTGGCAATACGATTAAACAGAGTGTAAAACAAGTGAAATGCTTTAACAAATCCAACATTTCTCGTAGTTTCAATGAAATATGCACCCTGAAAAACGACAGTCAAATTTACGCTTTGCAAACATTATTTTCGCATTCAACTTTACTTCGACCTGATCAGTTGCCCTTCCAGCAAAAAAACTCCAATTGCAGTAAATAAGCAAATCATTTCAAATAGACTATTTTTTTACAGAATCACAGCAAGTTTTCTTATATATTAAAAAAAAGTAATTAAACTGCAAAAAAGTCATCAGGAAATAATCGTACATTACTATACTGGTTAGCGCAAAGTAGCATATCGCAAAAATGTGATATGAACCACAAACTATACTTTGGTTCTCAACTAAACTTGAAGTAAAAACACACATGAAGCGTGAATAAAGTTTACGACTAAATATTCATTAGACAAAAAGTCTTCAAGAACATTTCTTGACCAAAAGCTTGAGGCAGCAGTTTAAAATACTCTAAAACAGTTCAGTTGCAGCAGCAAAATTGGTAGACAATTTTTCAAAGGCACCCCCTTGAGCTATGCTGTTAAGTTCAGAAATTGAGAAAAACTTTTCAAAAACAGTATATCATTCAGTATATCATTCAGAATAATTATAGATTTGGCAAACTACTCCGTTACCATGAGAATGTTAAGTGCAACAGTAATATTTACAGCAACAATAATAGCAAGTGTAATAATAATATTAGTTACAATAGTAATGTT